AAAAAAGGCTGAAAATATTTGGTGCTGAGAAACTGGGTATGCTCAGGGTGTGACTGTTTTGGCATTCATCTTTGGTATGCACCACAGGGTGGCTTCCTCTCTCTGACCTTGGCTTTATCTCTGATGCTACAGCTCTACCAAGAAAAAAAAAGAGAGGAGATGGGATAGGAGTCAGAGCTGGCTTGAGCTTTGAGCCAGAAAAGAAAGTGGGTTACTCGCATGGGAACCAAAGACTCTCTCAGTAGGGTCTCACTGAAAGATAGTTTCTGAAGTGGCGTGAGCAACCTGTTAAATATTTTCTTAATAGTCACAGAAATGATTTGACTGCTTTCTTCCTTAAGATTGCCATCCATATCCTGCTCTAATTAAATTCCTTTTTGTTCTGGCCTAACAAGTTTTTTTGCCATTAGACTTCAGACTTAATTTTCTTTCCTTTGGCTTTTGGGATCTACAGATCTCATTTAAAAAAAAAAAAACTGAAGATGGCAGTCAGGTACAGTGATGCATGCCTGCAATCATGACATGGAGGCTGCATCAGGAGGATCATATCTTCCTAGCCAGTCTCAGCAATTTACAAGATCCTTAGCAACTTAGAAATATTCTGTCTCAAAAAATCAAAAGTAAATAAATAAGATGAGCATGGTAGCACACATCTGTTATCCCAGTGCCTCTGGAGGCTGAGGCAGGAGGATCACAAGGTCAAAGCCAGTCTCAGCAACTTACTGAGGCCATAAACAACTTAGAGAGACCCTGTCTTGAAATTAAAAAAAAAAAAAAAAAAATCTGGGGATGTGGCTCAGTTCAGTCCCCATACCAAAAATAAACAAACAAAATAAAGGCAAGGCTACTCTGAGTTGGTTAGTTTCTGTATAGCTTTTATGCATAATAATCAGCCACCATTTTTACAAGCTTCTGTGTGCAAAGCAACTATATCAGATGTGCCTACATCTGGGTGTACCATTGCATCTCAAAAATACCATCTCAAAAGCACTGTCTTTTAGGTTTTATTGTACATAAATTGTTAGATATAGCATCTAGTTTATTTTTTATGTATTTATATAAAAAATTTTACCTACTATAAAAGTAATATAATACAAACAGCTAAAATAAAATGAGTTTCCTTTTTCAGAAGGTAAATACTATATGAACAGTGACACTGAATGTGGTATGAATGTTTGTGTTTCTTCCCCCAAATTCATTGTTGAAAACATAATCACCAATGTGATGGTATTAAGGAAGTGGGGCCTATAGAAGGTGATTTGGAAATGAGGGCAGAGCCCTTATGAATAGAATTAGGGCCCTTATAAAAGAGGTTCCAGAGCACTGCCTTGCCTCTTCTGCCTCACAAGGACACAGCTGGAAACCACCCTCTATGAATCAGAAAGTGAACCCTCACCAGACTCTGAATCTCCTGGCTTTTGATCTTGGACTTCCCCAGCTTCAGAACTGTAAGAACTATTGTTTATAAACCACCCAGTTTATAAAATTTGGCTATAGCAGCCCTAAGAAGACACTGAATAAATTTTTTGGTTATAATCAGTGTTTAGAATCATAAACTGGTAAAGAGGAAATAACCTACGAGACTTTTTCTTTTCTTTGACTGCATTTTTTCTTCCACCTGTACAGCTTGCTTCAGTACCAATACCTATGGGCACAGAGGCAAAGCATTCATTTAGAGTCAAGGTTTGCTGTGGTACCAGACACTGTGAGATGCCCAGGGAGATCTTATGAGACTCTGAATACTCCTTTTCAATTGAGGAATTCACCACACTATGCTGACAGATACTTTTATTCAACCTGTGGTGTAGCAATCCCAGGAATAAATGGAAGTCTTTCTTTACTTAAGCCTTTTTCATCAATGTGAATGTTCCTCAGAACAGCAAAGATGAAACTCAAGCCTAACGTTAAATAAGAGAACATTTAGACATTTTAAATGTTAAAATCCCAGGCAGAGATGATTTATTTTAACAAAAAAGGAAAAGGAATATTTATTTGGAAAAAAATTGTAAATGTTTTTTTTTTTAGTTTTAGATGAACAACTATAACTTTATTTTATTGATTTTTATGTGGTGCTGAGGACCAAACCCAGTGTCTCACACATGCTAGGCAAGCATTCCAGGCTCTGAGCTACAACCCTAGCCCTCTATTTGAAAAATATTTACCAAAATAAATTGAAGCAGATATTTATGAAATTATTGAATAGTGAACCAAATTCAGTTCCAAAAATTACATGGATATTGTCCAGAAGGACTATTTTGATCTTAACCACTATTTAGTATCTGTCAACAGTGAAGCCCTTCTTCCAGACTTGATGATATACCCTTGTAATACCAGCAATTTGGGAGGCTGAGACGAGGAGAATCACAAATTTGAGGGTACCCTGGGCAGCTTAGACCCTGTCTCAAAAGAATAAAAGGGCTGGGTATGTAGCTCAGTGGTAGAGCACCCCTGGGTTCCATCCCACAAACAACAAAATGAAACACTTTTATTTAAAAACAAACAAATGTAATCACTAAAAGTTTTCTTCAGCATGAAAAGTTGATGAGACCCCCTCACCAGTCAATATCTGAAACAAAAAAGCAAAACTAAATTTAGTGTTTATCCTTAAGGGAAAACTGTTCTGAGCAGAAGAGACCATTAGTTTGTTTGGGTTTTGTTTTTATTTTTAATTTTTTTTTAAGTAGGATTTGGGGGAAGTGTGGAACTCAAAGATTGGGGAAAGTTCAGAGGCTATCATGGGATGACTTCTGAAAAAGCATGATCATGATTGGTTAGCTGGAACTCAAGGAGTGTTTACTGGAGTTACTCTATTCCTGACTGACTTTCAGAAGTGAGCCATTAACAGTGACTGATGATCTTGTAAAGGCAAATTGTTGATCTTTTTTTTTTTTTTATTACTACTTACTATCATGGCTGCAGAAAAAGCAGTTTTTTCCAAGTTTGTGGAAACTTAATTTTTAACATAAAATATATATAATAATATAAAACAAACATGTACTTTGACATATAATTTAAAAGTAAAAAGAGAAAGTCTTAAATGTACAGTTTAATGAATTTTCTGTATCTGTATGTACCTATATAACTGTTTCCCAATTCAAGAATATAACATAGTTTCATCATCCCAGAATGTTCTCTGATGACCCTACCTAATCAATATCCCCTATTATGATTTTCATCCCTATGGATTAGTTATGCCTATTCTTGAATTTCATAGAATGAAAGTATGTAGTACGTATTATTTTCTAATTTTTAAAAAATTTCTCTCAATGCATATGAGATTTCATTCTTTTTGTATATATCATTACTTGCCTTTTATAACTATGTAATAGTCCATTACATAAATTGATTTGTGTAAACTGTTGATGGACATTTGGTCATTTCCAGTTTAGGCATATTATGAATAAAGCTCCTATAAAGATTTTTGTACATAATTTTTATGAATATGAGTAGCCATTTCTCTTGGGTATCCAACTAGGAATGAAATTTTTGTGTCATTATAGTATGTTTTTGTTTAGTTTTTGCAGATACTGTTAAAATAGTTTTTAATAGTTGATTCAGTTTGTTCTCCACTGGCAACTTTATAAGAGTTCCAGTTGCTCTGTGTCTTTGCCAGTACTTAGAATTGTCATTCTTTTGTGTTTTGAACTAGGGTTAGAGAGGAAGGGCAACATGAAGTATCTCTAATGTGTGGAAACTTCTGACATGAACCTTCATTACCAACCTGCCTTAGCCTCACAAATTACTAGGGTTATAGTTATGTGCCATTATGTCTGACTAGGTAAGTTTTTTTAAAAAAATATTTTTTTAGATGTTGACGGACCTTTATTTTATTCATTTATTATGTGGTGCTGAGGATTGAACCCAGTGCCCCAGACATTCTAGGCAAGTGCTCTATCACGGAGCCACAACCCCAGCCCTAGATAAGTTATTTTTAAGTGTGGAGGAGAAGGGTCCAAATTGGAGATATAAATTTGAGAGTTGTCATTATATGAAATCACAAGGAGTGAGTCTAGAAAGAGAACCAAGAAACTAAGTCCTGAAGGCTTTCTAACATTTAAAAATGAGGAGGGTGAAGAGGAACTAGCAGAAGAATGAAATGGAGCAGCCAGGGAAATAATGGAGGACCAAAAATACTGTCCCCAAAACCAAATGAGGAAATTGTTTTATTATCAAGTGTGGCTTCTGATAGCTCTCATGAGATGAGGACTAAGAATTGACAGTTGGATTTGGCACAGTGCAGGTCATTGCTGATGAGGTCAGTTTGAATGGAGTGAGGGGTGGGGATGAAAGCTAGATTGGAAAAGATTTGTAAGAATAAGGACTTGAAGTACTAAATATAGTGATTCTTGAAAGGAGTTTTGCTCTAAAGGGGGGGCCAAGACACAGAGCAGTGTTTGGAAAGGAATGTGAAGTTGAGGGAAAACTTGTTTTTAATTTGGATGATACATTATTGTCTCTATGCTAATGGGCATGATCCAGTAGAGACAGAGCACAATAGAGTAATCTTGTATAAATGAACAAGGATGGGTTCTGATTACAAGAAGGCATGGTTGGCCTTAGAGAAGAGTCTGGCAATTTATCCATAAAAGCAAGAGAGGAAGTAGAGTGTATCAGAAAATTATCTAAAATTATCTAATTATCAGTTACTAAAAATCTATCAAGTAGCTGTTGCTGTTATATATTTTTTTAGTTTAAGATGGGCATTACCTTTATTTTATTTATATGTGGTGCTAAGAATTGAACCCAGTGCCTCACACATGCTAGGTAAATTCTCTACCACTGAGCCACAACCCCAGGCCCCAAATAGCTGTTTTAATGTATTTATTCCCTCCTGTTTTTTCCCAGTTGATTATTTTGCCAACAAAAGACAAATAGTAGCATGTGATACATGATTGAATAATATAAGACACACGGAAATAGCATTTTACTTGTCATAATAATAGATGTAAACAGGTGAGATGACATAATATTTAAAATGTTTTTGTTTCTTCTCTCCATAGCTTTAAGGAAAAGTAGAAATCACTTCTGACTATACTGAGTAGCAAGTGAGTTCCTACATTGCAGATCATGGCACTACCATTCCGCAAGGATTTAGAAAAATACAAGGACCTGGATGAAGATGAGCTTCTTGAAAATCTGTCAGAAATAGAACTGAAACAACTAGAAACTGTTCTGGATGATCTTGACCCTGAGGTAGGTTTTAGCAGAGGAAAAGAAATAACTCTTCAACCCCTTTGAAACAAAGTAGCTGTCTTTAGCAGTTTGCTTTCTCATGCCTTTCTCTTGGAGCTTTCCTCTTCTTCTTTATCCAGATGAACTTGCTTTTTGCTTCCTCTCCAGTTCTCCCACTTTTGCCTCTACATCTTTATGACATGACTATTCTAAACTATCATCTCTATCATTGTTGTGTTTGAACATCTCCTGAATTTGTTTCTCCTCTAACAAATCTTTTCTTTCTATGCAGGGAAGAATATTTTTGGTTAAGTATAGTAAATGATTAGCTCTTTTATATACTGATCTCTTCTGTCTCTTCAGAGACTCTAGAATAGTATGGCTCCAGTGTACAGTGCCTCTAGAAAGTTCTTCATGACCTTAAACCTAATTGTTACCTTGCTGAGAGATGCTGACCAAAGGGTGTTTCTAGTCCTTGGTAGAATAGATCTGAGGAGCCTCTCAAAAGCAATACAACAGTTGACTGTGAAGCAGATCTAAACCTGAGTGCTATTTGACTTTATAGCTTTGCATCCACACAAACCCATCTTAAATTGTAAATATTATGTCAAAATGCCTTTAATACACCTAACTTATTAAACATCTTAACTTTGCCTAGCCTACCTTAAAAATTCTCAGAACACTTCAGTTAGTCTATAGTTGAACAAAATTATATAATACAGAGCCTGTTTTTAAAAACGTTGACTGTCTCATATAATTTATTGAATACTATACTGAAAGTGAAAACCTGAATGATTGTATTGGGTTTACTTTCTGCACCATCTTACAATTGAACCATTTTCAAAGTAAATGTTATTTGTTTTACAAATTGTACAAGGCAAAGTAGAGACTCTTAATCCTTGAATTGTTCATTTATGAAAGGACAGGCAACCGGAGAGAACCTAAAAATATTGGTTATTTGCTAGAATTTACCACTTTTTTTTATGCCCAGGCATTGATTTTTTAAGTGCTCTTTAAGAATTGAGGTAAGCCAGGTACTATGGCATATGCCTGTAACCCCAGCAATTTGGGAGGCTGAGAGAGAAGGATTACAAGTTCAAAGCCAGCCTCAGCAATTTAGCAAGGCTCTAAGCAATTTAGCAAGACCTTATCTGTCTCAAAATAAAAAATAAAAAGGTCTGGGGATATAGTTCAGTGGTTTTATCCCTGGGTTTAATCCCTAGTACCAAAACAAAACAAATTGAGGTAGAGTTTTTTTTAGGTTTTGTTTTATTTGGGGGGGGGGGCTTGAATTTAGGACCCAAAGTATGCTAAGCATGCACTGTACCATTGAGCCACACTTCCAAAGATCAAATTCTCTTGACCAAAATCAGTGTTATAAGGAAAAATTATCAGTATGCCTAAGTCTGGAAGGATTATTCAGAAAAATAGTGCTGTTTCTATCATGTCTCAGCACTACATTCTATAGGCAGTTCAACCTGTTAACCCTCTTTAAATCAAATGATTTCAGAACTGGAATGAACACACAAGTTTATGTAGTCTAGGTTGTTTTTGTTTTTGGTAATGGGGATTGAACCTAGGGATGCTTAAGTTGCTGAGGCTGGCCTTAAACTTAGGATCCTCCTGTCTCGGCTTCCTGATTTATTGGGATTATCACTGTTGTGTGCCACCATGCTTGGCATTGTAATCAAGTTTTTGTTTTTTTTTTTAACTTTGGCATTGGGACTGTATGATTTTTTTTTTGTTGTGAGGGACTGTCCTATGTACAGAGTATTTAACAGCATCCCTGGCTCAGTACATGCCAATAGCACACCACCCCACCTCCCCACCATTTTGAACTGTACCTGAGGTATTGTTTTAATCAGGTGTGGTAAAATGACAGACACAGAAACAACTGCCTTAAAAAAAAGAATTTATTATGCATGGTCCAGGAGCTGGAAGCAGTCCAGGCAGGGACACATGAGAAAGCACTTTATTTGGTCAGAAAGAAGGAAAAAGGAGCAACCATAGTCTAGAGCCTTTATTGCAGTTTCTGAGGGAATGAATAAATGAATGAGATCACAGGCTCCAGACTATAGAATTAGTACTTAGTTGCCTCATACCTTGCCTTAGGTTATTAGAGTAGGGGAAATATTGGCATGAGGTGTAAGAGTTAGATAACTAAGATTATTGGGATCCGGAGACCTGGATTGACTGGTTTGCATATGAAAGTTATGCAATTGGTAGGTCTGGGTGGAAAGTAGGGTTAATGCTATCTCTAGGAATTAGCTAGCACTGGAAGGGGCCATCTCTTCAGGATTTGTAAGGTCCCTAAAATGTCAAAGCATCATAAAATATAGAAAGTAAAAAAAAAAAAATGATTAATACTCCAACCCCCCAGTTTAACAAGCAAAAATGTTCTCAAAATATTACCAGGTATCTATTCTCTGGGAAACAAAAAGCCCCTGGTTGAAAAACACTCTAGTCCCCGCCCTCTGTTTTATAGATGTGAAACAAAAGAGGTGACTTGCCTCAGTATTATAGTTAGGGAAAGAACTGAGATTAGATCCTTCACTGTCTGCTTGACATCTGGGATCTGGCAGTCTTTCTGTTAAACCATAGTGAGTCTCCTCATGAACTCATATACTGTGGTATGCATCTAAAATCTGATCACTTCCATTTTCTTATTTGCAAATCCTTGGCCTACTTCTTGTATGGGGAGGTTAAGCTCTAATCTCTGAATGTATTTTATACATTTCCCAACCCCATTTGAAATTCCTTCATCCTCAGATACTATTAGTCAAACCAGGAAAACAGTGATGTTTATTGACAGCAAGCCACTTGTCCTGTAATGTTTTTTGAGAGTTCAAGTAAAGTATCGGGTAGGAAAAGAGGGCAAGGGTAGTTGCAGATGCCTCTACTAGAGACTGTAACTTACCAAGTCTCAAATGGTAGGATGAGAGCATAGGAAGGTATGAATGGCATCTTGTTATATTTTAAAGGGCTATTTTATTGTATTTATGCTGCACTTAGGTGTATTTACTTGATAACTCACTACATTTTCATAAAACATCTATTTCCAAAAGACAGCCAGTGTAAGTTAAAGCTATTTTATTCGTTTCCAAGGCTGGGAATATATTGCTACAACAGTATTACACTACAGTGGACTGCTAGTGTGGCTCAGTGGTAGAGCATTTGCCTACCATATACAAGGCCCTGAGTTTGATCCCCAGCATCGAGAGGGGGGTGGATTCTTGTTTAGAATATACTTCTAATGAAGCTTAGTGTGTGGGTTTATAGCCTCTGAAACCAGTGAGCTGCCATTTACTTTGTGGTCAAAGACTATTTAAGGAACCAGGATTTCAGCTAACATATTTTAAAACTATATGTTTCATAGGAGCTTGAGCAGCCAGGTGGCATAATGCAACTCCATTACTACTACCATTATAAAATAGCAATACAAATGCTTTTTGATGTGGGAAGCAAATAATTTCTTTATTAATTTGCCTCAGTGAGCATTTTTCTTTAAAAGTATTCTAAAATCTTTACTCATTAAATGTTTGAGGTATATCTAGTACACATATAGTGTACTAGACTCAGATATACAAGAGTGCTCGCTGTGCAGGAATTAGATTTTAATCAAATAATCATACCATGTTAGAAGAATGATGAACACTAGGAACTGTGAGTTACAATCACGGGTAGAAAAAGCTTCCCTTGGGGTCATGGAACTGCAGTCTTAAAAATGAGAAGAAAAAAAGATAGTCTTCCAGGTACACAAAAAGGCCTTGTGATAGAAGGATATCACAAGTACAGGGAGAGAAAAAAAATGTCTAGTCTGAATAGAATAGAGAGGATATATGAGAAGAGGTTGGGGTCACAGATTAGGGAGTAAGAGTGAGGAATGAGGAGGATTGGGCACCTGAACCAGGAAGATTAGTTGGAATGCTAATGTAACATTCCAGGCAAGCTTGGATCATAGTTTGGATCAAAGTAAAGATGTTACAAATGGAAAAACAATGATTGAGTTCTTTACAAAGTAAAAATGGATAGGATTTACAGATAGACTAGGAATGGATTCTTCATATAACATTGTTATCTTGATTTCAAAGTCTAAAGGTAGAAATCTTGTTTTTCTTTTGTATAGTCCCATAAACAACAAAGGAACAGGCCTCCTTTGGGGTTTATCTTTTTTTTTTATTGGTTGCTCAAAACATTACAAAGCTCTTGACATAGCATATTTCATACATTTGATTCAAGTAGGTTATGAACTCCCATTTTTACCCCGTATACAGATTGCAGAATCACATCGGTTACACATCCACATTTTTA